TAGCCCTCCCCCTTCGGTAGCCCCCCCTGTACAGCCTCCCTCCCCACAGTCTTCCTCGCCGCCTCCTGCAGGTGCTCCCTCTCGGGAGGTTGGTCCTGCGACTGTCCCTGTACAGGTCTCTGGTTCTGGGGGTGCTGGAGTTGGAGCTGAGCCGCGGGTTGCAGAGGACTCTTGTCTTCCGGGGGCTGGTACTGGTCGTGCGGAGTCTGGGGGTGCTGGTGCGGAGTCTGGGGGTGCTGCGTCTGGGGGTGAGGGTGTCCCTTCGGTTTCTGGAGAGCCTGGGTCTGGAGCTGGTGTTGGTGCTGCCTCTGGGGGTGGTGTGCTTGGTGCTTCGGAGGTCGACTCTGGGGCTGCCGCTGCCCCGGACACTACTCCTTCCCCCGCTAAGCAGTACATCCCGACCGCTAAGCAGCCGGCCGACTTCCTCACGAAGGCGCTGCACTATCCGGCCTTCAACCGCTGTTCCGTTGCAATCGGCCAAGTGCGTCTGGCCGACGTGGGCGACGGCGACGACGAAGTGCAGCAGTAGGTGCCATGCCCTTTTGCATGGCTGGTGCGGTGGATGACGTGCTGTGTGTTGGGTGCACGTCGACGAGCTGTTCTCCGAGAGGTGCTGTCGTGTGGGCTGGGGGGGCCCAAGCGTGAACGCGGCAGGGGAGTGTCAACGGGAGTTGGGTGTTGGCCCCGTCCTCGCTTGGGCGGAGCCGACTTCCTGGTCGGGTGTAGGGGTGCAGCCGACCTGCAGTAGTGGGCGAGTTGCAGCGGCTCGAGGAGCAGGAGCGACAGCAGCAGGGGCAGCAGCCGCTGGAGCAGCAGCAGCCGCAGCAGCCGCAGCAGCAGCAGCAGCAGCAGCTGCTGCCGTCTCCTCCTCCTGTCTCGGGTCTTCGGACCCTTGGTCTCCCGTCTCCCTCTCCTTCCTCCTCCCCCTCTCCTCCCGTCTCTGGTCCTCCGCTTCCTCCTCCTGACCCCTCTCCCGCTGTTTTCCCTCGTTCTCAGTCTTCGTTGTCTCCTCCTCCTTCTCAGACTTGGGCCTCTCGTCGCTCCCCTCGTGCTCGTCCCTCGTCTCCTGTTCCCTTCACTGACCTTCGTACAGCCTTCCTTTGTTCTCGTCCACCTCGTCCGTCTCCGTCTGTGCTTCCGTCTCCTCCTGAGTCGGCCCTCACTGTGTCGCTTCCTTCTCCTGTCACTGACTACTACCGCACGTACCGTCCTGTTCTCTCTCGTGTTCTCGCCTCTCTTGTTACCCACCCTCGTGCCTCTGTGTCCTCTGTGTCCGCTCTTACTGCCGCAGTCACTGAGTTTGCCTCTACCCGCCGCCTTGACTTCGCCACCGCTCTTGTGGCTGCTCCTCCTTCCAGTCCTCTGGCCGTCGGGGGTGTGTCTGCCCTTGGCTGTGACGCCCTAGAGGACAGGCAGTTTGAGCTAGAGTTCCTGGCGGCCGCTTCCCCTCATCTCTGTGCCATGCTCCTCGCCCCTGAGGGTGACCCCGACGCCCTTGACATTCCGACTCCTCGCACTTACGCTGAGGCAGTGTCAGGGCCTTGGGCCTCTCAGTGGAGAGCTGCCATGGACGCAGAGATGGCCTCCTACAGATCCACAGGCACCTACGTCGATGAGGTTCCCCCTCCGGGGGCGAACGTAGTCGACGGCATGTGGATCTACAGGGTGAAGCGGCCACCGGGATCTCCTCCGGTCTTCAAGGCGCGCTACGTGGCTAGAGGTTTCAGTCAGCGCGAGGGAGTTGACTTCTTTCAGACCTTCGCGCCCACCCCGAAGATGACCACTCTTCGTGTGTTACTACACGTAGCAGCACAGAGAGACTACGAGTTACACTCTCTCGACTTCTCTACTGCTTTCCTTCAGGGCAGTCTTCACGAGGAGGTCTGGTTGCGTCGTCCCTCTGCCTTCACTGGCTCTTTCCCTCCTGGGACCCAGTGGAGGCTGAGGCGACCGGTTTACGGTCTTCGTCAGGCTCCTCGTGAGTGGCACGACACCCTGCGTTCTACCCTGTCTGACCTTGGGTTCCAGCCGTCTTCTGCTGACCCGTCGCTGTTCGTTCGTCGTGGCCCCACACCTTTCTTTGTTCTGGTCTACGTTGACGACCTTGTTTTCGCCACCCCTGACAGGGTTGCTTTGGCACACGTGAAGTCCGAACTGCAGAAGAGACACACCTGCACTGATCTTGGTGAGCTGCGCCACTACCTTGGTCTGCAGATCACCAGGGACAGAGCTGCTCGCACCATTACACTTTCACAGTCACACATGGTGCAGCAGGTTCTTCAGCGGTTCGGGCTTCAGCACTCCACAGTACAGCGCACACCTCTTGCTGTTGACCACAGACTCACTGGACCCTTTCCTGACGAGCCGTTCGAGCCTAGTGGTCCCTACGCAGAGCTTGTGGGTTGCCTCATGTACCTGATGACTTGTACTCGCCCGGACCTCGCCTTCCCTCTCAGCGTTCTTGCGCGCTTTGTTGCGCCAGGGAGACACCGTCCTGTTCACTGGACAGCAGCTGTGAGGGTGGCGAAGTACCTAGCGACGACATCAGGCGTGGGGCTAGTTCTTGGAGGGCAGCAGTCTGTCGTACTTACTGGTCACTGTGACTCCTCTTACGCTGACGACGCTGAGACTCACAGGTCTACTCAGGGGTACTGTTTCAGCCTGGGTTCTGGAGCTGTTTCCTGGCGGTCCACGCGCTCCTCTTCGGTCTCGACCTCTACAGCTGAGGCTGAGATCTACGCTGGTGCCATGGCGGCACAGGAGCTGCGTTGGTTGACCTTCTTGCTCACCGACCTTGGTGAGCGGCCGAGCTCTGCACCGACCTTGTTCACTGACAACAAGGCGTCTATTCTCCTTTGTCGAGAGCCACGACTGGAGAGCAGAGTGAAGCACATTCACGTCAGGTACTTTCTTCTGCGAGAGTTGCAGAGGCGTGGACAGGCTCGCTTTGAGTTTGTGGAGTCCGAGGCCAACACTGCAGACATCTTCACCAAGGCGCTTCCGCCTTGTGACCACCAGAGGTGCTGTGTGCAGTTAGGCCTTGTTGACACTGGTTCTCGTGTTGCTTAGACTTGAGTGTACTGTTTACTTTGCTTTCTATATATCTCTGTTACTTCTTGGACTGGCCTTGTGGCCACTGTTGTTTGTGCTCGGACTGTGTGGTGACGTTGTGATCCACCCTGAGCTTCGTTTCTTGGACTGGTCTTGTGACCGTACTCGTTTGGTTCTGCTAGACACCCCTCACTTAGGCTATGGGGGTGTGTCAAATGTTGTAGCCTATAGTGAGGTTTGTCTTAGGAGGTACAAAACTTAGGGTTAGCTATATGTACCCCAACCAACATCAATGCATCATCCATTCTTCATTTTGACAAGTGAGTATAGTGGCCAAACTGGCAGAGGGTTGGGAGAGATAGTGAGACAGAGTGTTGGACCACCAGGACCGCCGATCCAAGTATTGATTGGGTGCGTAGACCGCAAGCAGCCTAAACTGTTCATGCAAATAGTTGCAGTGAATGTCTAGGCATCTGCCGTCACCGGAGGAGGCTCTGCTGGATATGGAGACACCAGGGCGGAAAATTAATACGGCTATTCCACCAGGTTTTGCTTGAGACGAGGAAAGACGGGGGGGGGACCTGAGCATAAGCTTTTGGAAGTTTGAAGAGGAGCTGAGAGAAGTTGTTGGTGAGCCGGGTGTCAGTAAGAACTGTCAGAATCCCAGTCACTAACCACTGGGATAAAAGGGCTTGTTTGTGTAGCGGGTGAGTGCGCCCATAACCCCCCAGGCCAACATGCCTGTAACCCTTCCCTAGGATCATCGGGGATCTCCAGTGGACCTCTGACACCCCCCCGCACTGGGATGCCCGAGGTGCACACACCGGGATTCGAACCCGAGACCTTCGCTCTGATACCATGTCAGAATCCCAGTCACTAACCACTGGGATAAAAGAGCTTGTTTATATAGCGGGTGAGTGCGCCCATAACCCCCCAGGCCACTGTGCCTGTAACCCTTCCCTAGGATCAATCGGGGATCTCCAGTGGACCTCTGACACCCCCCCGCACTGGGATGCTCGAGGTGCACACACCGGGAATCGAACCCGAGACCTTCGCTCTGATACCATGTCAGAATCCCAGCCACTAACCACTGGGATAAAAGGGCTTGTTTACATAGCGGGTGAGTGCGCCCATAACCCCCCAGGCCGACGTGCCTGTAACCCTTCCCTAGGATCATCGGGGATCTCCAGTGGACCTCTGACACCCCCCCGCACTGGGATGCCCGAAGTGCACACACCGGGAATCGAACCCGAGACCTTCGCTCTGATACCATGTCAGAATCCCAGCCACTAACCACTGGGATAAAAGGGCTTGTTTATATAGCGGGTGAGTGCGCCCATAACCCCCCAGGCCACTGTGCCTGTAACCCTTCCCTAGGATCAATCGGGGATCTCCAGTGGACCTCTGACACCCCCCCGCACTGGGATGCCCGAAGTGCACACACCGGGAATCGAACCCGAGACCTTCGCTCTGATACCATGTCAGAATCCCAGTCACTAACCACTGGGATAAAAGGGCTTGTTTGTGTAGCGGGTGAGTGCGCCCATAACCCCCCAGGCCAACATGCCTGTAACCCTTCCCTAGGATCATCGGGGATCTCCAGTGGACCTCTGACAAGAACAAGTATGTCGCACGGGTTCCTTGTAAATCATGAGTGGAGAATATCCAATTTTTGCTGTGAATTAAGGCCATTCACGTTTATGCACTGAATAGTGAGTTGTACATCCATTATTCAACAAAAGGAGAGGCCCCATGTGCTCTGTAGAGCACACATCCACTGGGGCAGGCCAAAATATCCTGTGCAAAGCGTTCCAGAAGGATTGCAAGGTTAAACGTGATGGTCCAGTAAGAAAGTTCACGCTCGAAATGACACCATAGGAGCAAGTACAACATGTCACTGGCATTGGGGTACAGGGACTGAACACAAAGAACCTGCCAGCAGAGCACCACTATCCCTGAGCAAGGAACGTGGCAATGGGGCCATTCTGGATAAACTCGTGCACTTTCACATCCACAAGCTCCTCCTTGGGGGTGCTCCTGCCATTGATGTTCTGAAGAGCAGCCATGTGGGTCGGGCTGTTGATGTGTTCCAGCGCACTGTCCAGTGCCCAGCCGCAGCAGAGCGAGCACAGTCCGCACGTCCACACCTCTACCTCGATGTCGGTTCCAATGAACAGCATGCCAGGGTCGGCTTTGAAGGTCATGACGGCAGGGTGCATCCCAATGATCCGGGCTGGGGTGTATAGGGAGGGGGCGAGGCACAAGGGCCAGAAACGAGAGGATCTGTAGACAAGCATAGGGAGTCCAAAGCACGCACGCATGCGGGCAGATCAAGGCAAAAAGAGGCCAACGGGGTGAGAGCAAAGTTGAGGAAACAATGAAAAAATGTTCAATCACAAAAACCGCAAAAAGGCGAGAAAGCAATGAAGTAGCAGAGAGAACGTCAGAGAAAGTGTTAACGAAGCAGGAAGACAGCAAGGTTGATAGGGGGAAATTTTGAACCAAACGAACACTCATACCATTCAAGTTTTGGAGCTGTCCCAGGGTGATGGTGAAAGGGTTGTTGATGCGGTTCCTGCGGACCGCAGCAAAGCTGCTGTGGTCGCGCGTCCGGTGATTACTGGTGCACACCGCGCACGCGTGCGAGGAGACGTTCACCAGGATTGGTTCCTGCACCTCAGGGACCCAGATGACTGCAGGAATGGCCTCGAAGTCCGGATCATTGGGAGCCGCAACTGGGATCCCGAGCATCTGCGGGAGGAAGGCTTCCTCGTAAGGGTCAAACAGCTTATGAAAGAACAGCAAATCACCGAGCCACTTGGCACCATTCTCAGAACGTTGGGTCACAAGCAAAGAGTGCAGAGACTGAACGGAGATCCCCACAGGCACGTTACGCAAGATCAGCACAGTCTCGCCGCGCGCCTTTGCAGCAGAGAACTCGGGAAACGGATCTTGGAAGATCTTGATCTCAGCTGACGGACCCTCAGAAGACCGGTACGTTATCAGGAGCAGCCTCTTGAAGCGGTTCGCGTCGTCAGCGGTGGGCCACTGGAAAGAATGGCGGCAGTACGAACGCCGCGGCAGGCGCAGGAGATCTGCCGCAGAGGCTTCGAAATCAGGGACACGGCCACCCGAGAAGTCACGACCGCGGAGGATGCTGCGGACGCGCGTGACAATACGGCTGCGGTGGGCTTCCATAGCCTCGGGGAACATGATGACAGCAAAGGCTGCAGTGCCGCGGACGAGCGCAGCAACGACGACTCCCACGACGTCACGATTGCGGCGAAGGCGCTGGTAACGGCCGGTAATAGCCAGGGAAGGAGCATTGGTAGTCTCTTGAGCAGACACCGACGGGGCAGGTGCTGCCGCGGAGGGGCCAGCCGAGGGGCCAGCAGAGGGACCAGCCGAAGGAGCCAACACCGGTGTGACAGGCGGCACCACCGAGGCCGCACGGGGAGCCACAGGCGCAGAGCTGGATGAACCGGCAGCACAGCGCGTTTCGCAGGGGGTGGAGCAGAAACAGCGGGGGTGACCGCTTCCTCAGCGAAGAAAGAGTCGACCGAGAAAGAGGCACCGAGCTCCTCCTCTCCCATGAGTTCGTCGGGATTGTGCTGGGAACCCATTGCACCAGGTGGTAAGGACGGCCTGTCCTGGTACGTCGATTTGTAGCATGGAAGCGCGGTCCGACGCGGAAGGGGTGATAGGGTTGGTTCAACAATTCGCGGTACGGAGGAGACATTAAATGTTCCAATTTTACGAGTGAAAAAATTGTGGCTTCGGCGATGGCCTAGGCACACGGTAACCAGCAAGGATCCAGCAAGGAGAAGGGGAGTCGCGCAGCGTGCATGGAGAGAGCACGCAGGAGGACACGCCGTAACAACATAACGTGTCAAAGAAGCACAAGTGCATGGCAGGGAATCGACGTGGAGCGAGAAGAGTTGCACCAGCAGGGTTTTCCAGAGAACGTAAAACCTCCTGCGAGACCCAGCAGTAAGGAGGACGAGGAGAGCAGACAACCAAGGGCGCAGCTGCTGAGGGAGGACAGTAAAGGAGAAGCGGCAGGGGGATGGCCTGTGGAAACCACCAAGGAGTGTGACGAGAGTAGATCCCGAACGATCATGCAGCGAGTACCAGCAGAACCGATCCAGAGGCAACCAAACCCCTGTCAGAGGTCCACTGGGGATCCCCGATGATCCTAGGGAAGGGTTACAGGCACGTCGGCCTGGGGGGTTATGGGCGCACTCACCCGCTATATAAACAAGCCCTTTTATCCCAGTGGTTAGTGACTGGGATTCTGACATGGTATCAGAGCGAAGGTCTCGGGTTCGATTCCCGGTGTGTGCACTTCGGGCATCCCAGTGCGGGGGGGTGTCAGAGGTCTACTGGGGATCCCCGATGATCCTAGGGAAGGGTTACAGGCACGTCGGCCTGGGGGGTTATGGGCGCACTCACCCGCTATATAAACAAGCCCTTTTATCCCAGTGGTTAGTGACTGGGATTCTGACAACCCCATGAAGAAAGAAAAGCCTAACCTGCAAGAAAACCAAGGAAACCAAGAAAACCGGAGCAAAAACCGAGAGAGAAACATGCTCAAACCACAAGCGAGAGGAACAGCAAAACTCACCTACCACAGGCCAGACCTGGAGAGACAAAAGCCAGAGGACAAAGGTCCTGGCATGCAGGCTGACGCGGCAGCATAGCAGAGGGTGAGGAGGCTGAAGTCCCTAAGTTGCGGGAGGCGGAGAGCAGTTCGACATTTTTTTAGAAGCAAATTGAGACTTGAGGCGGGTAACACCAGCGAGACGTTCGAGGAGTTCTTAGTGTTTAGGTGGTTAGCAGTTGTAAATAGCACGATACATGAAGTTGTTATTACAAATTTGCAATAAGGTACGATGGGGCACCTGAATAGCAAAATCACTTTACACGAGTTCAGATTAAAAATATTCACATGCTATGCTTGTTATTGCATAGCTGCAGCTGCTTCCTGCTGCCTCTTACGAAGCATCGACTCCACAAAAAACTCCCCAGCTCGATACGAAGAGCGGACCTGGAATCAGTAACAAAGTCCACAACCAAAATGAACAGCGGCAAATGAAACATGAATGAGTGGCAAACCAACATGACACAAGAGCAGGGAGGAAGAACATCACATACAGGTGGAAGCACGAGATATGCAGAATGGTGATGCAAGAAACTGCAGCCACATGAAGCTTGACTAACCAGAGGTCCGCTGGCAACATATCGGAATCCAATGGATTCCCCGTACTGCCTCCACTCATCAAACTTGGCCGGCGTGACAAACTCCTTCACGGGCAGGTGAATCGGCGTGGGCTGCAGGTACTGCCCGAGAGTCACTATCTCCACTCCTGCGTCCCTCAGATCCCTCATTGTCTGCGCCACCTCCTCGTCTGTCTCTCCCAGCCCCAACATTATGGACGATTTGGTTACCACACCAGGAGCCACCTCCCTCGCATGCTGTAGCACAGTCAACGACTGATCGTAACTGTGGAAGAGGAGACCAAGGGAAAGGAGCCGGCAGAGGAGCACATGGGCACGGGAGGGAGCAGGCGTGGCAGGAGAGCGCAGGGAACGGTGAAAAACGTCCCTGAGAAAAAAGTGGCAGATTAAAAAAGGAAAACAAGGGTTTCGAAGCAGCAGAGCCGTTACCCAGCGCGAGGATCTCTGACGGAGCGCTGCAGTCTCTTGACAGTCTCCACGTTGTGCGCGAAGACATCCAGGCCCGATGTGGCGAGTGCCGCCACTGCTGCCTTGTCCCCTCGAAAATCAGACACCAAACACTCCACGAGGATGTCTGGACGCAGTGACTGCACTCATGGCGGTGAGCAAGAACAAGGGCGAGGGATGTAGGGGGAGGGATGGAAAGAAGCAGAAGGGGGGGGGGAAGAAAGGAGGGGAAAAGAGGACAGTGAGACAGTGATAGAAGATGGAACGCACTGGTGAGGGGAGGGGCAGAGGATTTGGACCCGTATGGACCTCAGATAGGGGGACAGGGAGAGGAACTGTGGCATACGAATGTGTGTGTGGTGAGGTGATGAGGGGCTGTTAAGTGCTGAAGACCGGGGTGCACGGGCAGGCTTGCAGGCAGTACCTTTAGCTCCTTGACCGTGCGCACAAAGTGGTTGGCGCCACCATCAGGCAGGTCGTCCCGGTCCACACTCGTCAGCACTATGTACCCCACCCTGCCATGCATGCACACATGGCCGGGCAGCGACCGTGCCAGGGGACGGCGGGAGAAAGGCACGCAAAACAGTGATAAGGGGTTGAAAGGAGGAGATGGCGAGGCGTGGAGGGGGAAGGACGGGAGAGGGCGAGGGGGATATTGAAGGAGGGAGGGCAGGCAAGATGGTTGAAGATGCAGAAGAGCATGGAGTGAAAAAAGATGGTGAACATGCTGAAGAGCAGAAGACGTGGACCTACACAGCAACTGCGCCTCGCACAGCAACGCTGAGAGACAAACCACTGCACCGCCCCCAACCCATTCGCTCATGCCAGCCAGCCCTATTCCCCCGCTTGCTCCCGGTCCAACCCCTCCCACGCCCCCCTCCCCCCCCACCTTCCCCACTCACCCCCACGAGGCGATGGCCCTGGCGGTGTTCTCAGGCTCGTTCTCGTCGGGCGGCGCAGGGGTGGGACTCGTCGCCACCGCGCAGAAGCTGCGCGCAGAGGGGGGGAAGGGAGGGGGGAGACAGAGGGGGGAGGGAAGGCGGGAAGGGGAGGGAAGGAAGGAAATGGCGGAAAGTTTGGATTGCGGAAGGAGTCGACGGAGGCGGAAGGAGAGGAGGCGGAAGAGGAGGAGGCGGAAGAGGAGGAGGCGGAAGGGGAGGAGGCCAGAACGGGTGAGCGTGATTATGGATTTTTGTCCAGAAAGATATGCTCGCGCACGCAAGTCCAGAAGCACGCGAGCAGGCGACCGCGCGATCGAGCAAGCGGGCGGGTGAGCGAGCAATTGAGCGGGCGAGAGGCGAGCGGGCGAGCGGGCGAGCGGGCGAGCATACCGGCAGCCCCTGGTGCAGGTGTCCCCCAGGAGCATGATCGTCGCCGTGCCCAACCCGCCGTCGCCATGCCCGCCGTTCCAGCACTGCGCGCACGGACCCGCGGGAACGAAAACAGGCGAACGCGCGGGGGTTTAGTGGGGCAAGTATGCCTGTGCGCGAATCTGCATGTGAGCGTATCTGTCTGTATGTGCGCGTGTGCGGAAGATGGCGGAGGATGCGGGGGTTTCAGTGGGATGTCACGAGGGAAATTATGTGAGAGGTGGGGGAACAGCGGTCAGGGACTCAAGAGCCAGTCGTAGTCTCACCTCCCCGATGTTAGGGCACTTGGCTTCTTCGCACACGGTATTCAGTCGCAGCCCTTGCAGCGACTCCTGCACCTGCTCGTACCGCTTCCCCTGCGGCGCGCGTTGGCGCAGCCACGCGGGCTTGCGCGGAGAGGCATCCGGCGCGGAGGCCCCGCGCGGACGCTGCTGCGGGGAAGATACCGCCGACAGCGGAGCCTCGACGGCGCTGCTGCTGGTGGCGCTCGTGGCGGTCCCTTCTGGGCGAGCCGCTGCGCGGATGGGGGGAGTGGCGGAAGGCGGGTTGAAGGCGCGATCCGACGAACGTCGGAGGGAGAGGGCAGGGGTTCGACCGGCGAGCGGGGTCGAGAGGAAGGACGAGGAAAGGGCAGCCATGGGAGATCAACAGCGGTCGCACACTGTTTCGAACCTTTCCAATCGACGTTGCTTGCTCAAAAAAATCTGCTGTCGGTAGGGACCGTTGCAGCAGCGGAAGAGTGCGATAGTGCTGAAAAAAAGGAATGGAGGATGATGGAAAAAGGGTCATCTGCTGGACAGCTGATTTCTTTCACTGTCATTGCGCGACTGATGATGTGACGCTGACGGCTGAGATTCGACGATGCCACGTTTTGATGACAAAACATCGACCCTTGAGGAATTCGATACAGTAGAATACAGCCATCTGCGAATAAAGATTCTAAATAACGAAGTGAATACATACAGTATGGACGAAGTCACATTCTGCAGCTCGCAGCTGATAAACATGGGAGGCCCTTTTGACACTAGTGTTTAGAGAAGGGAGATATTTGAATACACCCCCCGTCCTAGCCTTAAAGATTACTCTCCAAGCCTACAGCCTACATGCCTTTGAATTTGAACCTACCTCCTTGAGCCCAAGGGGGAGGTGGAGGCATATTAGGCGGTGAGAAGGGACCAGGAGGAAAATCTCCCAGTGCTGCCCAGCTAGCAAGACAATCCTCCTCCCAGGGATCACACCCTCTATCACTCCCACTGTCATCCTCCCCATCGCTCTCACTCTCGCTGTCACTGTCCCCCGTGATTCGACCCTCATACTCATCCTTGCTCGTGCTGCTACCGTTGCCGTTCCCATTGCCATTGCCGTTACCATTACCGTTCCTGCTGCTCGCGTAGTTCCTGCTCTCACTCCGGCCAATCACGCGGCTGATAGATGCACCCGTAGCAAGAGTAGCAGCAACCCCATCTAGTTCATCCTCCTCATCCTCCCCTGCCCTGCCCACCCCCCCATCTCCCATCACACCCCTCCCACTTCCCCACGCTCCACCCGTGCCCACATGCCCATTCCCCTCATGAGCTGTCTGCCTGCCTGCTGCTGGCCCATGCTGCTGCACCTGTGCTGGCAACACTCCATTCGTACCCACTGCACTCTCACCAAACCCGCTAGGCCTGCTTCTCACAGCGTCATTACAACCACCCACACTGCTGCTGCTGCCGCCGCTGCCGTTGCCGTTGCCACCAACACCCCCTGCATCTTCACTGCTCCAGTCACCACCAGGTGCAGCACCCTGGTTGAACCGCACGCCTGTGCTGCTGCTGCTGCTGCTGCTGCTGCCGGGTGCATCTGAGGTAACAGGGCGGCTGGCACTGGGTGGGGAAGCTGAGGCACGGGACGGGGAGAGGGTAGAGTGCGGGGATTGGGAGAGACCAGCAGCAGACACCCGTCCCAAGCTCAGGTTACAATGGAGGTGAGGCAAGCTTCCGTTGGACCCCGCCCTCCTGCTCGCCTCCTCTCCTGCCTTCCTTACCGCCCCTATACCTGCCCCCGCCCCCGCACCTGAACCTGCCCCTGCCCCTGCCCCTGCCCCTGTCCCTGCATGTGTCACCCCTTCCTTCACGCCTGGTGCCTCAGTCACACCAGCAGCACCGCCTGCATCTGTGGTGGCAACTCTGCTCCTGTCCCCGCTGGGGGTGGCTTTCCAACGGGAGAAAGACGGGGCGAAACTGAGAAGAGAGGAGTGTGATGCGGGTGACGGAGGTGGGGAGGGGGAAGGCGAGCGGCGAGAGGGGAAGGTGGGCGAGGAGGAGGGTGGAGGAGCAAAGGGTGTCTTGTTGAGGGGCGAGGTGTCGAGTACGACAAACTCGTGAGAGAGGAAGCGGGCGTTGGGCACAAAGAGACGGAGCGTGCCGGACCGGACGACAGTGAAGCGCAGATCGACTGACTCGCACACGCCCTCAAACCACCCTGTTCCCACTGACACGTGTGCTGATGGCGTGGATGGTGCGGTGGGGGAGAGAGAGCAGTGCAGCGCCAGGGTGTCGCCTGCCCGGAACGGCCGGGCAGCGAAAAGGAAGAAGCCACCGAAATAGTTGTGCCAAAGGTCCTGTGGAAAAGAGGGGGAAGGAAGGCGCGGCAGGTATTATGCAGACTGTACATTGCTTAAAAAAAAAAAAAAAAAAAAAAAAAAAAAGATATGGAAGTGGTTGAAGGGACTAGTGAGTCGAGGGATTTGGGAGACAGAGAATGCAGCCAGTGGAGCCGCAGTTCAAATGCTGACAAACAGCAGACTGGGATCAACTTGGGTATGAAGACAGACTATTGAAAAGGGCCTTCTAGTGCTGTTGCAAACGTCGGCAATTGACAGCAGAACAACAAAGCGTGGTGCTAGAGAAAGAAATGCCATGGGCCAAGTGAGGGGAGGAAAACGGGGGGGAAGGGGGAGGAGGAAGCAGACCAGGGAGCGCAGCAAGGGAGAGAAATGGCAAAAGAGAAAGAGGTGGAGGAAGAAGGGGTGGATCGGGAGGTTGGAAAAATGATGCGGTTGACGGTGGGCAAGCAAGCAGGCAAGAGCAGAAGCAGTGCGTACCTTTCCTGCCAGCGCTGTGACGATGAAGAGAGGCAGAACCAGAGCTGATATGCGGATGCCCACACTGTCCAGTGGAAGCCGGCGGAATGGGGACGGAAGGATATGGGGAACGGGGGAAGAGGGCAGGGAGGGCAGATATACGTATGCAGCAGCAACGAGAGGGGGAGGGGAGGAAGACCAGGCTGTGACAATCACATCACGCAGGCCCATGCCTTGAGCACACACACACACACTAGAATCTTGAATCCCAGGCCCATGCAGGGAATCACAGCAACAGACGAGCAACAGTGGAACAGCAGCTGGACCAGGCTGCTAAGTAAGACAACAGCCGAGAGCGAACAGCAGGGGCTCAAGTAGCAAGGAGTAGCAAGGGCTGAAGTACCTGGAGAGGACGGTAACCACTGCTGCGGCTGTCATTGTGATCCTACAGCCATGGAGAGCAGTGTGGGAGGAGAAAGGGGAGCGAGAGGTCAAGAACAGTACCCAGCGAGCTAGCCATGGGACAAGAGTGCCTATTCTGAACTGTATTGAACTGATCTGTACTGAATTGAACTCAACCAAACTGAACTAATATGAATAGCCTGCCGTATGAGCATTCTCTTTCCTGATGAGCCATCCTTGTGGGGTCCAGACAATGGGCCCTCTTGAGAACTCTCACGAGAGACTTTTGGACAATAGGTCATCGGCTCAAAAGGGCACTCACTCGACGGCGAGCACGAGCACGTCCTTGACGTTGCGGTCCACGAGGCGGCGCTCTGCTGTCTTGGTGATGGCGCGCTGCAGCACACAGTTGCACCCCCACAGCACCCACAGCAGCACCACCGCTATGCTGGCAGAGATGGCACCATGCATGCACACACATGCACGCACATGCACACACATGCATGAACACAGGCATGCAACCATAGAGGCATGTCCACATCCACATGTACCCATGCATGCACACATGCACACGTACCCATGCATGCACACATGCACACGTACCCATGCATGCACACATGCACACGTACCCATGCATGCACACATCCACGCACACTCACACCCACACAGAAAGGAGAAGCAGGGGAGGAGCGAAGGGATGAAGAAGAAAGCATGTGCGGGTAGGGCCATGGCCGGCAGACCCATGCGCGGACGGGCGGGATGCGAACGACTGGGCATGCGAATGAGAGAGCAACGGATGGGCAGATTGGGAGGGCAGGGGCGGTACCCAAGGCGGGGCAGCACAATGCCGAGGTTGTTGACCACGGACTTGAATACAATGCCCGAGCCAAAGAGAATGGGCGCTAGCATGGGCAGCGACAGGTCGTGCAGCAACGGCACCATGTGCCACCGCACCTGCCAAGGGGGATGGATGATCAATTACACGCACGGGCCGCAGCAGCAGTGGGAGCAGTGAGAAGAAGCGAGAAAAAGGTAAGCGGGATACAAAGAGAGCGATAAGAGGGGGAGAGAGAACGGTGTGGCGGGGGAGAGTACAAAAGCAAGAGTACAAAAGCAAGAGTACAAGAGTTAGCGGGGAGGAGGAGGGAAAGACAACAAGCTGCAAGAAATTGTAGCAGTTTGTAGCAAGTCCCACTGCATCCCCTGACTCCCCTACACCCCCCACGCCCCAGCTCTCCCCCACACCCCCACACCCCCTACCCCCCCCCCCCCCCGCCCCCTACATGGCGCAGCGAGGGCAGTACGTGAGCGAGGAAGGTGGGGAGCCCCATGGTGAGGTTGGCCATGGTGATGGACATGCGCAGCTTCACCACTGCCGGCTGGCTCCAGAACCGCTTCACCACGTCCCACGGATCGTCCTCCTCCTCTCGCCCTGCTGCTCCCGCCCCTGCTCCTGCTCCTGCTCCCGATCCTGCACACGCTCCTGCTCCTGCTCGCCTCTGCCTGCCCTTGCTCCGCGCCCGCCTCCTCTCTCCTGCTGCTCCTGCGGCAGCGGCGGCGGCGGCGGCGTCGGCTCCATCTGTTGAAGCACCTGCTGGGGTGTCAGCCTCCATCCCTGTCGACCCCCTCCCCCCCTCTTTCGATGACTCTCCAGCGTCCCCGCTAGCACTGGTGCTGCTCTTACCACGACCAGGGACGTCTTTCTCCGCCGTTGCTTCTTCTGAAAGCGAAGGCACCTTATCCGAATCTCTCTCCCCAATCCCAGTGCCCTTTGAGGATCCCCCCACACTTGCAGCATCAACACCTCCACCTGCTCCTCCTCCTGCTGCAGCAGCAGCAGCTTCTGCTGCTGCTCCTACTGCTCTCCCCTCTGCCGTACCTCCCAGCGTCTCCTGGCCACTCCTCGAATCTGCACCCGCACCTGCTGATACATCTGCTGAATGCGAAAGAGCAACTGACGGCGAATCTGCTGCTGCAGCAGCGGTTGCTGCCGCTGTTGCTACCTCTGGAAGTCCAGAAGGTAGAGAGGCGGAACCTTCATGACGAAAAGCGGGGTTAACAAAGGAATTACCGCGAGCAGAGGAAGAAGAGGGGGAAGCGGGCTCGCCAGCAGAAAGGCGACTTTCTGGCAACGCAAAAGGGCCGTCGGAATCAACAGCTGCGGATGAAAAGGTGTGGCTGTGGTCAACAGCGCCTGTACAAACAGGCCCCCCGGGCGAACCGAATTTCGTGCATCGTCAGTGCTGTCGGTAACCCTGCCACTCCTGTTCCTCCTGCTGCTCCTGCTCCTCGCGCGTCTGCTGGCGCTAGCTCCACCAGCACCACCCCCAACACCAGCGCGGAAATCCAGGTCCCACCCACGCAAATCTGCCCTTCCAGATACAGCATCACCACCACCACCAGCAGCCACAGCTCCGCTGCCTCTTGCTCCGCTCGCTCCCCCTGCCTGCGCCCCCGCCGCCGCGTCATCCGGCCACCAGGCGCGCCGCAGCTGGCCGGGCAGCGCGGCGACGGAAGCGAGCATGAACGCGAGCAAGTGGCGCGCGATGACGAACAGCAGCACGGCGCGCCGCACCGCCGTGCGAGCCACGTCCTCCCACTCCACCTCCATCACCCGCGCTGCTATCCCCGCGCCCGGGAACGACCCCGCAGCTCCCCAGCGAGCCCTGTCCTCCTCGTCCAATCCCCCCCCTCCTCCAGCTGCGCCCATGGGCCTTCCTTCCGCCTCTCCATCCTCTTTATCATCCCCAGGCAACCCCATGCTCTCATCAAGCTCGCCCTCTGCAACCCATGGCTGCTCGCCTTCCGCTCCGCCCAAAGCATCGCCGTCCCACGCATTGGCCTCCAGCGTCAGGGTGCTCGCATCCTCGAAGCCTGCTCCATCCATCGCGTTCACCTCCGCCGCGCTAGCGACTCCTTCCATGCTTCCTGACCACTCTGCGCCGCTTCCCACCGTCCCATGCGCCGCATGGCGTCCTCTTGAACCGTCCGAATCCAATTCTTCCACCCGTGCTTCTCCCGCGCCTCTCGCAACTCCACCAGGCAATCGCGACGTTTTACTATCCTTCCACTCCGCCTCAGGTGCTTCCGCGGCTGCATGTACGGCAGCCGTCCCGTAGTTTGCGCTGCTCTCGGCTGTCGCGCCTTTTGACTCTTTTTCAAAAACACTCCCATTCGAGTGTTTTGACTCAATAGATCCTCCGCCGCTTTCAAACCTGCTGCCGCCGCTGCGATTGCTGGTGGCCCAATTGGCCGCTACTTGCTTCCCGTCACTCCCGCCAATTGCACCCCTCTCCTCAAACGCCAATTCATCGTCCGAACCTCCACTGGTGCTTTCGCCTGACCCTCCGTGTAAGCCGCTGGCTCGAACCTTTCGGGATTGGCTTAAAAGTTGCCGGGATTTAACCCCCGTGTTGTCTGGACTCCCGAGTCGAAACAATCGCCGGGACTCCAGCTTTCGCCATGCTGCGGGTGTCACGGTGTGGAGTCTATTCCACCCGGATTTCCGTACAGCCTTCGCTATAACGACGGCACGGGTGCCATCTCCATGCGGCAACTCCTCGGGATCCCTGACTTCACGCCTACGCGGAACCGAGACGGAGCTTACTCGGCGATAGGCACGTCTTGAAGGAGCTGAAGGTACGGAGAGGCGAAGCGAATTGACGTGCTGCGAGCGAGCAAGGCCACCAGACAAGCTCCTGGGCGCGGAACGGTCCAACGTGGTCGCAATTGTGCAAGCACGGAGTCTGAAGGCCGGACTGGTTGCGGCGTCGCCAGCTATTGCGTACTCCATGTCGGCAGGAAGTACGGTATTGCGACGGGAAGCCAGGGAACTTGAAGAAGGGTTACCATGACCTGACAATCAGTGCAGAGAAAGCCATGGAGGGTGACAATTGCTGGGCCTCGGGCGAAACTCTGGAAGATCGCTACAGAAAGCGGACTGACGGAGCGAGATGGGAAGCGGAAAAGAAAACCCTTGACAAAGGGCAGGATCTAAACACCCAGGTACGCGTCTGTAGGCACCATGATAGCTGACCGAGTCTAGTTAGCCAGTTAAGTTTTTTACGGTCAAGAACCAAGATATGCCGTCGAACGGACTGACAGAACTCACGCCTGAATTGCACAAGGTGAACTAGCAACTGACAGTGGGTAAACGTGACGACAGGGACAGGAAACGTTGTGCGCACAACAAAGCAAGTAAAGTGGGAGACCGTTCCGCACGAGGATGATCCTGGAGCAGTCAAAACACGCACGAGTGCAGCAGACGACTGGGCTGGAGCGGAGCAGAGGGAAAGAGCAGCACACTTGGATGAGGGAGAGAGTGCGCTTGAATGACCGCTCCCTGATGGTTTTCCGACCCGACCGAGACGAATTGGTAGATGTGCACGGCTCGGGGGCAGCAAAGGGAACATCGCTTTCGTCTCGATTAGCCAATGATTGGCAGCCAGCTCAACGGCGATTGGCTGTAACGTGTTCGGTATTGAGACGATTTTCCTTCCTGCCCATAAAAATCTTCAAAGCAAGCTCCACCTGTGTTGGGGGTTGCGACCCCTCACCCAACCAATCAGGCAACCGGCGTCAGAACAACGAGGCAAGGTTGCAGACCTCACCCGCCAAAACAACATCCTTCATTAAACATGTTATGGAGTACATCGTTAACAAGTAAAGCATATTTGCGAGTACATGTTTGAGATCATTCATGCCCATATATGTAAACATGTTCAGGCACGCTCGTACCCGGATTGCGTTCCCTTGGTCACTCACACAGTTGGGCTGGAATGGAAGGTTGTTGAACAGTGTACATATTCTAGTTTTAATGTCATTTCACAAACTTGGGCTGAAGGGAATACATATAATTTGCGTAAAGATGTGACGTCCAATCTTTCTGCCGCTGCCCCTCACACTCCCCTCGTGGTGTACGCCCCACAGTCCATGCTGGCTACGCTGTCGGATGCGGGCAGTGGCTGGCATTTTGTCCAGCACATCAAAACGAACGAGCACGTGAGGACGTGTAGCGGTGGCTCATGAGTGGTGGCAGGCACTGCCCGCTAAGGGCGGATCTTGGATCTTGGATTATTTGCCTAGTGTTCGATTAACGCGATCCAAAACGGTATAGCACGGTCGGAAACCACGTTAAGTTCCAACGATCTAGACCATTGCCCACCGACTCAAACCCCACGAAGTTTATCATACGAATATCACCTGCCCTTATAAGTTACAACCACACACAACCACAAGAACTGGAAGCAACATCGCCGCCTTTACCCATCACTTTCCTCCCTTCTCCGTAAAGGTACACAGTTCGCTCACTCACTCACCGCAGCATCCTCCCCGCAGTTCTGGATCACCTCACCACTAGAGGGAGTCTCTTTCTACGTCTAGGTCGGCTTTACGGGGATTAGGAGGCGAGGGATGCTTGTTTCACTGTACAGTAGTAGTCGGCAAAGGGTTCCGCTCCTTTGCTGTTGGTTTTCTCCCCGCCCAGCTTTTGATTTCGAAAGTGGTCTTTGAGACAGAAGCTAGAGAGTCTTGTGATAGCCCTTGAGCAGTCTGTGTTTTGCTCTCGTCAGATCCGTTATTAGGTGTTTCAGGGTTGTAGACTTAACATCTATCGAACTAGCATCGTTCTAACTTGCTGAATGGACATGTCGCGGGGTCAGCAGCAGCCACAATCGCAGCAGCAGCAGCAGCAGCAGCAACAGCAGCAGGTATATGGCGATTTAGTTTACTTAGAATGTACTTGACGGGCGCGTAACAAGTGACCAAAAAAGGACGATACAGGCAAGGCTTCACACTGTGTAGCGTCGCGGCTGCAATATAAATCAGTTAATCTATTCCGTTTTAGCTGTCGTCATCCGTCGTCATCCCTTTCTTGACCTACTTTGCAATACACCCTTACGTCGACCGCCGGTCTATAGTTCTGAAGTATGCGAGATTGCCTTCACTGGTACACACAAGGCAATAGGGGCCTAGCTACACTCGATATCCTCTCTCTCTCTCTCTCTCTCTCTCTCTCTCTCTCTCTCTCTCTCTCTCTCTCTCTCTCTCTCTCTCTCTCTCTCTCTCTCTCTCTCTCTCTCTCTCTCTCTCTCTCTCTCTCTCTCTCTCTCTCTCTCTCTCTCTCTCTCTCTCTCTCTCTCTCTCTCTCCTCTCTCTCTCTCTCTCTCTCTCTCTCACATGCACACATGCAGGTCGCACCGGCGTCGTCCGCATGGCAGTGGGACCCCATAGGCTTCTGGGACGAGCCCTTCTCATCCCTCTTAACCGATGAAGCAGCTGTCGCCGCTACCGTCGCTGGTACCGACGGCCTCCCTGTCATCGCTGCCGCCGGCGGATCCGCCGCCAATGGTGCCTTGCTCCCCGCCGTTCAACCCGCGGGCTTCGGCAGCAGTCCTCCGCTTTCAGCGGCGGGCAGCAGGCCTTGGGGGTGTCCTGAGGCCAGTACCCCCGTCGCCGCCGCCGCCGCTGCCGCGTGGCTCGACTCCGCCATTGCCGCGGGGGAGGGGGAGTGGTGGCTGCATGGCGCGGGGAGAGAAGCGCCGGCCGGGGGAGCGGCGGGGGCGTTGGCGCAGCTGGGGATAGGCGGGGAAGACGAGTTGGACGGGGTTCCTGCACTGAGCGGCCGCGCCACTAGGGCGCTAGGAGCGGGTGCGGGTGAGGGTGCGGGTGCGGGGTTGAGTGGCCTTGCGGTTGCGGACGCAGATACGGGTGCGGCGGGTGCGTGTGCGTTAAGCAAAGCGGATCTTGCGGCGGGAGGTGGTGATAGGAGAGGAGAGGAGGCTCCGGGCGTGCTTAATTCGATATGTGGCGCCGGGGATGCGGTGAGAGAGGGCGTGTGCGGGCATGACGGGCTGGGGATGCCGATTTGCTGCAGTCTAGGAGATGGTATGGCAGGAGCGACAAGGGATGACCTAGATCTAGTGAATGACGTGGGGGTAACAACAGCAGCAGGAACAGGAGGAGGAGGAGGAGGAGCAGCAGCAGAGGTGGAAGCAGGTGCGACGACAGAAGCAGCGTCGTCGTTTCCAGTAATGACGGAGCCATCAGTGGTAGCAGGTGCTCAGGCTGCTGCTCTTGGAGCCGATGGGGCATGTAGCGATGCAGAAATAAAAGACGTGAACATTGGCGAAGGAGCAGCAGCAGCGCCAATAGCGCCAGCAGCAGTGGCAGCAGCAGCAGCAGCGGCGGCAGCAGCGGCGAAGAAGGCAGAACGTTCACTGGCGCGCAGGCTGGCAGCGGCCCTTGGCGAGGAGTATGATGAGCGACTGGAGGAGCAGGAGCGGGAGCGGAAACGAGAACGGGAAAGGCAGGAGAGGGAACGACGGGAGCGCGAGAGGGAGAGAGAACGCGAGAGGGAGCGGGAGCGGGAGAGGCAGCGAGAGCGGGAACGTGAGAAGGAGAGGGAGAGGGAGCGCGAGAGGGAGATGGAGCGCGAGAGAGAGCTGGCAAGGGAGATGGCAACGATAGGGCGGAAGAGGGAGTGGATCGAGGCAGTGGAATCGTGGAAGCAAAAGGAAATGGCGGCCACATTTGAGAGAATCACCAGCCTTCACGGACCCTCTCCACTCCTCCAACGCCCCCCCACCATGCCTGGAGTCTTCAACCCATTCCCGCAGCAGCAGAGCGCTGGTGTGTTTCGGCAGGGGTCATCGTCGCCTGTGGCAGGCCCAGGCGTGTTGTTTACAGGGCATGCGGCACGCAGCGGCGCAGCGAACCACCCCCCCGCGTTCCGCCTTGGCATCGGCTTCGAGCCTGGGGGAACCTCCTCTGGTGCTTGCAGCACCGCTGGTGCTGCCGGTGCTGCTGGTGCTGGCGGTATTGGCGGTAATGGCATCACTGGCGTTGCTGCTGGCGGCACTGCCGGCACTGATGGTGCAGGTGCAGGTGCAGGTGCAGGTGCAGGGGGCCTTTGGAGGGGTGCGGCCCGCAGCGCGTGGATGGTTGGTGCGAACGGAGCGCCCACCAGGTTTGCTTTCTCCTCCTCCCCTGCGGGCTCTCCTCCTGTCTCACTCACAGCTCCTGGCACGGGCGCTGGGCTGGGACTAACCGGGCTGGGTCTAGGCATGTTGGGACTAGGCGGGCTGGGGCTAGGCGGGCAGGTGTCTGGCGAGCAGGGTGCGGGACTGGCGGGGGAGCTTGGCGCAGCCCTGGGCGCGTCCATGCGCGGAACCATTGGCGGAACCACCATGGGCGGAAGCATGGGCGGAAGCATGGGCGGAAGCATGGGCGGAAGCATGGGCGCAATGCAGGGAGGACCAGTAGGAGGAGGGGTGGCTCTTGACTTTTGGAAGCTAGGCAGTGGTGGTGCCATGGACAGTAGGGCGCATGGAGCAGTGCAGGAGGGCGCAGGCATGGCGCGTGCAGGTGGGGGTGGGGGAGAGGCGGAGCATAGAGGAGGAGCAGATGCAGGGAGCAGAAGAGGGATTGAGAGGGATGCAGTTGAGTTACTGGGAAGAGGGTGGCACACCCGTGGTTCTTCTCTCCCTCTACAGGAGCAGTTGCAGCAGCGACTGCAGCAGCAACAGCAGCAGCAACAGCAGCAACAACAGCAACAGCAGGGGGCAACACGACCAGCAGCAGCAGGAGCAGGAGAGGCAGGGCGAGGAGGAGGAGGAGAGAGAAGAGATCCGGCAGCAAGTGGTGCGGTTCCGGGGAGCAGCAGGGGGGATGCGAGCAAGAGAGGGCGGCAGCATTGGCAGCACTGGCAGTGGTGGCAGCGGTGGCAGTGTGGGGCGGGTGCCTCTGAGCCACCCTGTGATGGAGCGCCTGCTCATTCTGGGTGAGGCCGTCGCCACCGGCGAGGATGAGGTGCGTGCGTGCATGTGTGCGTGGGTGGATGGGTGGGTGCGTGGGTGGATGGGCGGGTGCATGTGTGGATGGTGGATGCATGGGTGACATGACAGGCATGGGGGAGGGAGAGCAAGAGGGCATAGGGTGGGATGCCTGGACGATGCAGGCGGTATGCTGCCTTGCCAGCAGAGAGATCTGAGCATCCAGCATCACATTTCTCTTCTTTTATCACCAGCTCCCCTTCTCCCCCACCTCCTCCTCTTCTCCCCACCCTCTCACCTCCCCGGTCAAACCCCCTCTCCCCCCCGCACCCATCTCCCTCCCGGTGCCACATGCCCCTCCCAGGCGCGCATATGGAGTCTGGCGGAGGAGCTGCAAGTGCAGGCGGACAGGCAGGGGGCACTGGAGCGCTCTTTGAGTCAACTTAACCCCCGCCCCCCCGCACCCTTGTCCCCCACCCCCCGCGCCGCATGCCCCTCCCAGGCGCGCATATGGAGTCTGGCGGAGGAGCTGCGGCTGCAGGCGGACAGGCGGGGGGCACCGGAGCAGCGGCTGGTGCATTACGTGTTGGAGGGGCTCATTGCACGCGTCATGGGCGACGGGGCCAAGCGCTGGAACACCAATACCGCACTCTCTGTCAGTGAGGTGCGTCTGTGAGTGATTGACTTCTGATGCGTCTCAAAAGCAGCGGCTGGTGCATTACGTGTTGGAGGGGCTCATTGCACGTGTCATGGGCGATGGTGCGAAGCGCTGGAACACCAACACCGCCCTTTCTGTCAGCGAGGTGCGTCTGGTGAGTGAGTTAGTGACTTTTGAGGCGTCCCTTTTTCCTTTCCTTCACCTATCATATGCTCTCCTTCCGTCACCTCTCCACCCCCCATCCCTCTCCCTCCCGCCTGCCTCTACCTCCCTCTCTACCCCCCTCCTCTCCCTCCCAGGACGTGTTGAGCAAGATGGCGGACCTCTCATTCGTGATGCCGCACCATCGCTTCATGGTCATGGCGTGCAATGCAGCCTTGGTCGAGGCAGTGCGCCACCACCCAGTCGTGCACGTCGTTGACATCGGCTGGTGGTTCGCCGGACAGTGGCCCGGCTTCATTGCAGCGCTAGGGACTCTCCCAGGCCCTAAGCCCCTTCTCAAGTTCACCAAGGTCCGTATCAACGCTCAACGCTTGGTGCTTGGTGCTTTCTGCCCTCCGCCCTCTTTTCTTTGCCCATTGCACTCTGCTCTGTCCCCTTGCTACTCTGCGGTCTTCATGCCTGGATACCCCTCTTGCCTGCATGCCTGTCGCCTCCCAATCCGCTCAGTGTGCAAACTCCACCAACTCAAAAACGTTTCCCTCTCCCCTCCCTCTGCTCCCTTGCTCCCAGGTGGACACCCCACCCTCCATGTGCCCGGAGCGAAACTTTTCCCAGCTGCCCGCGGACCACTGCCAGGACATGCTAGAGAGGGCAGCAGCAGCAGCGGGCATACGCCTGGTCTTCCAAGCAGTCGAGTGCTCTCTCGACCGCCTCGACCGCCGCATTCTCGGCCTCGATCCCCTCTCCCCCGCCGCTGCCGCCAGGTGCCTCAGCAGCAGCAGCGGCAACAGCAGCGGCAGCGGAGGCGGGGGCGGCGGGGGAGACGGCACGTACAGCAACCAGTCGGACAACATTCAACGGCCGCACAAGCACCAGCGCCACTCCTCTGCCACGCTGCCGATAGCCGGAGCGGCGGACGCGAGGCAGGTGCTATCGGCGGTGGAAGCGGGGAGGGGAGGAGGAGCAGGCGGGGAGGTTCTGGTGGTGAATGGCATCATGCGCTTGCACACGCTGCCCAGCGGGTCCGTGGTGCGGCACTCCCCGCGCGACGCTGCTCTGCGTGCCATCCGCCGTCTAAACCCCCACGCAGTAGTCCTGGGGGAAAGACACGTGGACCATGACGGACCCTTCTTCCTGCGCCGTATGGCGGATGCCCTCCCCTGGTACCTCTCCGTGTTTGAATCCCTCGAAGCAGGGCTCGTCCCGCGCGTGCAGGCGTCCCGAGACGTGTTCGAGCAGGTGGTGATAGGCAGGGATCTTGTGAATGTGATCGCCTGTGAGGGGGCGCTGCGGGTGGTGAGATCGGAGCCGCTAGGGAAGTGGAACTGGCGCATGCAGGAGGCGGGGTTTGCAGCCGTGCCGTACCCGGCGCGTGCGCGCGTGCAGGTGGAAACGGTTATGGCACGGTATCCTGCAGACTTTGGCGTGGAAGATGATGAGGGCAGCCTGCTGTTGACGTGGAAAGGGCAACCCATGATGGGCGTGGGGGTGTGGCGCGTGGCTCGGTGATGGATGGGTGATGTGGTGTGGTGTTGCATGGGTGGATGGGTCGATGGGTGAATGGGTGAATCGTGTGAAGAAGCAACTTCGCAGGTTGTGTGTACAGATTCCTCATAATGTGTACTGGTAGGAGTTTCTTGAGTGCGCTGTGCTGTGCGCATTGCAGGTACTAGTAGTGGCGGGCGGGCGGGCACTGTCAGAAGTAGCTACTACTGATATAACTGGAGTGCGGGAACAGGCAGGATTAGATGTGGGGAAGTTGAAGTGTCTTCGCAGCGTATTTCCTGATATTAACCACTCATGGATTGAGAAAACTTTGCTCTGTAAGGAAGATTCGATACTGCTGTTTGTACCACGCTGCTGACCATAAAAGCCTTGCAAGCAGCATAGACAGTTGAGAACCCTTGTACGGTAACATACGGTATTATATCCCACACCATGTCACAGCATATCACACACCATGTCACAGCATATCACACACCATGTCACAGCATATCACACTGTTAGAATCTAAGGCAAGGATGATGAGATTAGGTCAAGGTGGGGTACAAGAGTAGAGTGTCGAGAGAAATGTGTGTACCCCCTAAGGCTATCCCCAATATAGCCTAGATATAATATGCATATGTTTTGACACACCCCCATAGGCGAAATGGGGGATAGCCAGAGCAAGCAACGGTCACAAGACCAGTCAAGAGACAAAAACACAGCTCAGGGTGGATCACAACGTCACCACTCCCACTGAGCACAAGCAAACGGCCACAGGGCCAGTCCACATGCAGAGGTATATAAGCAACAAGAACAGTACAGTGATCTCTAGCTAGCAAGAGCCAACATGCAGGTATATATATATAAAGATCACAGTACAAACAAGGGCTACAGCAAGTGTGGAAACGTCGGAACAAGGCCCAACAAAGTACAAAAGCGCTGATGATCACCAGACGGAAGTGCCTTGGTGAATATATCAGCAGTGTTGGCCCGAGTGTCCACGTGCCGGAGACGAAGCTGGCCTCGCTGCTGCAACTCTCGAGCCAGGAAGTAACGCAGAGCAATGTGCTTCGTTCTGTGCTCCAGTCTGTGCTCCTCACACAAGGCAATGGCAGCCTTGTTGTCGACGTACAGCACTGGAGGAGAACAAGGCCGCTCTCCCAGGTCGGTCAGCAGGTAGGTGAGCCAGCGCAACTCCTGTGCAGCCATGGCTGTGGCGTAGATCTCAGCCTCACAACTAGAGCTGAGAACTGAAGACGAGCGAGTAGAACGCCAAGAAACTGAACCAGAGCCAAGGCTGAAGGTGTAACCCTGTGACGACCGCTGAGTAGCCTGGTCGTCAACCCAAGAAGCGTCTGAGTGCCCAGTGAGAACAACTGGGCTCCTCCCACCAAGCACTAGCCCCATGCCTGATGTACTGCACAAGTAGCGCAGTACCCTCTTAGCAGCAGCCATGTGCTCAGGTCGGTGCCGACCAGGAGCCACGTAGCGAGCCAGAAGACCAAGAGGGTACGCGAGGTCAGGACGAGTGCAGGTCATCAGGTACATGAGGCAGCCGACTAGCTCTGGGTAAGGACCACTCGGCTCTACGGACTCGTCCGAAGGTGGAGCTGAGAGTGAGTGACCTGTCGCCAGAGGAGTGGCCTGTGCTGAGGACCAGGTGAAGCCGAAGCGCTGAAGGACCTGCTGCACCATGTGTGACTGAGTCAGTGTGATGGTGGGGCAAGCTCTGTCCCGGGAGATCTGCAAGCCAAGGTAACTGCGCAGCTCACCCAGGTCTGTGCACGTGTGTCTCTTCTGCAGCTCGGACTTCACCAGGGCAAGAGCCTCAGTGTCAGCAGTGGCAAAAACCAAGTCGTCGACGTACACGAGGTTGTAGAACGGCGGCAGTGAAGTGTCGGTGCGCAGAAACAGCGACGGGTCAGCAGTAGAAGGCGCGAACCCAAGAGCCGCAAGCGTAGTCCTCAGTGTGTCGTGCCACTCACGTGGCGCCTGGCGGAGACCGTAGACCGGCCGCCGGAGGCTCCACTGGGTACCAGGAGGGAACGACCCAGTGAAGCCCGGGGGGCGGCGCAGCCAGATCTCCTCGTGCAGGCTGCCCTGCAAGAAAGCAGTGCTGAAGTCAAGAGAGTGAAGCTCGTAGTCACGGTGAGCGGCAACGTGCAGCAGCACCCGAAGAGTGGTCATCTTCGGGGTGGGGGAGAAGGTCTGGAAGAAGTCTACTCCCTCTCGCTGACTGAAGCCTCGAGCAACGTACCGAGCCTTGAAGACGGGCGGACAACCTGGCGGCCGCTTCACCCTGAAAATCCACATGCCACTGACGATGTTCGCCCCAGGAGGGGGAACCTCGTCGACGTAAGTGCCAGTGGACTTCCAGGATGCCATCTCTGCGTCCATGGCTGTCTGCCACTGAGAGGAGTACTCACCCGCGATCGCCTCAGCGTAAGAGCGCGGGGTCGGGATGTCTGGTGCATCCGGGTCTTCCTCAGGGGCAAGCAGCATGGCCACAAGATGAGGCGCAGCGGCTGCAAGACACTCAAGGTTCTCGTGCCTGTCCTCAAGGACGTCCGTGCTAAGAGCACACTCACCCCCGACGGACGGAGGACAGACAGACTCAGACTCAGCAACAAGACTAGCGGCGTAGTCTAGACGACAGGCAGCAGCAAAGTCAACAAGCTCAGCGACCAAGGCAGACGCAGCAGCAGACTCAAACGACGGGTCAGTGACAACAGTGGCTAGTAGACGCGTGACTGTAGGGTGGTCAGCACGAAACCGGTCAGACGCAGGGTCCGGAACGGCAGGCAGAGAGGACGCAGGGGGAGACGGCAGGGGAACAGACTGCGGAGCAGAGGGAGGACGACGGACAACAAGGTGTGCACTGGGGACAGTCGGCTGACGTGGACGAGAAACACGACGACCAGTACGACCAGAACGAACAGGCGAGACTGGACGCGACGCAGGCGCACGACGCTCAGCAAGACTACCTGTCTGCTCAGTGTAAGGAGAGGGAGCAGGCAGCGGTGAGCCAGGCTGTAACGGAAGACCAGTAGACGACGGGAGAGTAACAACCTGACGAAGAGCAGAGTCAGGCGGTGGCAGAGACGACGGAGACGGCGGAGCGAAGAACAGTCGTGTCGGCGCAGCTGCACCAGCACCAGCAGCTCCAGCACCTCCAGCACCTCCAGCAGCTCCAGTGCCTCCAGCAGCTCCAACACCTCCAGTAACTCCAGTAGCTCCAGTGCCTCCAGCAGCTCCAGCAGCTCTAGTCGCAGAACCGGTACCTCCAGCGGTAGCACCACCAGAACCAGCGGCACCAGCAGCAGCACCCCCAGAACCGGCACCTCCAGCCTCAGAGTCTCCAACCGCAGGGTCTCCCGTAGCAGCACCACCAGAACCAGCACCTCCAGTCCCAGGGTCCCCAACCGCAGTGCCTCCCGCCGCAGCACCCCCAGAACCAGCACCTCCAGTCCCAGGGTCTCCAACCGCAGCGTCTCCCGCAGCAGCACCCCCAGAACCAGCACCTCCAGTCCCAGGGTCCCCAACCGCAACGTCTCCAGCAGCAGCACCCCCAGAACCAGCAACTCCAGCACCTCCAGTAGAGCCCCGGGCTCCAGCAGCGCGACGCTGACGGCGACCGTACCAGTCGTGTAGCTGCTGAGGGGTGAGAGGCACACGCGGACGAAGGCGGCCACTCCAAGTAGGCCGCGCACCAGCAGTCCCAGTACCCTCAAGCGTCTCACCGCCAGACTCAGCACCCCCAGACTCCGCACACACAGGCTCAGTACCCCCAGACTCCGCACCCCCAGGCTCAGCACCCCCAGACTCCGCACCGCCAGGAGCACCACCCCCAACAGCACCAGAGTCAACAGTAACCGGCTGCAGAGGCGGCGAAGACGGTCGCGGCGGGAACCCTGGAGGGGTCTCCAAGCGTGGTGCACGGCCGAAGGCCGCCGGGGCGTCAGCAGCAACGTCACCCCCCTCAGGTGGGCCAGAGGTGTCAGAAGTGACCTCCAAAGGCTCAGCCAAGGGGGGGGGGTCTACCTGAGACACACCTGAAGGAGCCTTCCCCTTAGGGGGGAGGGGGTCTACCGGGGGGGGACCTGGCGTAAGGAAGAGCGGCGGGGGGGGAAGGGGGGCAGCGCGGTAGGGGAAGAGACGGTAGTACGGAACCGACTCGTCAAACGTGACGTCCTGGGAGGACAGAACACGGCGCGAGGTGGGGTGGTAAAACTGCCAACCAGGCGCGTCAAGGGGGAAGCCAAGGAAGACGCAGGGAATAGCACGGGAGGACATCTTGTCCGCAGACAAGTCTCGGACAAAAGCCCGAGATCCCCAGACACGGAACGCAGACGCATCGCCAACCTTCCCCGTCCACAACAGAGTGGGGGAGGTCCCCGGCATGGAGACCCGGGGCTGAAGGTTGATCTGACGCGCCGCGTACTGAACCGCAAACGGCCACAGAAAATGGGGAGCAGCCGCATGGATCATGGACGTACGAGCGACATCCATGACCATGCCAATGCGGCGCTCAGCAATCCCATTTTGCTGCGGAGAGGCCGGAAGCGTGAACGTCTGGCGGATGCCCCTCGCACGACAGAAGGCTCGCAGAGGGCCGGAGGAAAACTCACCACCTCTGTCTGAGTGCAGACGCAAAACAGGAAAGTCCGAGCGGAAACTCTTCCTGAGCTGGAGACGAGCAGCGCGGATCCAGTCGATCAACACCTCAGTGACCTCATCCTTGCGGCGCAAGGGGAAGACCGTGGTGTAACGCGAGTAGTCGTCAACTACCAGCAGGAAGTAGCGCTCGTGACCCTGTCCACGGACGCGGGCTGGGCCCCACACGTCCATGTGAAGAGTCTGTAGCGGAGCCTCTGTCGGCGGAAACTCGGAGGAGTGAGGAGCGGCGCGCTGCCGCCCCTCGACGCAGGGAACGCAGGTAGGGGCAGGCCCCGGGGGGAGGGGAGGGAGCGACCGGGGGAGACCAGAGACCAGGACACGAGAGGCCATGCCTCGGAGACGAGGCAGGGAGGGGTGACCAAGACGGTGGTGCCAGAGAAGAGTCTCGTGGGACAGGAGGCGACACGAGCAGGGGGCAGACTCAGGACCAGACCGAGACGCCGCAGCAAACACCTGACCCGACGCAGCTACCTGACCAGGCACAGCAACCGGAGGAGACTCAGTAGTGAGGGTGTACAGGCTCGACCCCGGCCGACGGGTAAACGTGGCCAAGTGTCGGCCCGTGTCTGCACACGTGCAGTGGGTCACCCGCTGACGCGCAGGGGTGAACTGGTCAACCCCCCCGTCCTGTAGGTCAGCACCCGCCACCAAGTTCGTAGAGAACGAGGGGAGGTAAAGACCCGACAAGGAGCCAGACGGGACCGCTGGACACGGTAGTACAGTGGAGTAGTGGGCAAGAACAGGACCCCCAGAGGGGTCTGCCAGGGAGACCGCAACCGGCCGACTGAGCGGCGTGAGAGTGGTGCAGTCTCGAAAGAAGGAGCGGGAAGCACCTGAGTCAAGGGTGAAAGTGTGCGACGCCGGAGCAGACGTGGTACCTGAGAGAGCAAACTCACCAGCACCTAGAGCAGCAGACTCACCAGCACCTGGAGCAGCAGACTCACCAGCACCTGGAGCAGCAGACTCACTAGCACCCGGAGCAGCTGACTCACTAGCACCTAGAGCAGCAGCTGCACCGCCCGGGTCGGGCGGAGCACTCAGGGAACAGTCACCGACATCACTAGTAGACAATGCATACATGGCAGTGAGGATAGCATCAAAGTCAAGAGCATAGATATCTACCCTCTGCCGGAGCAGCTCCACCCAGTCGGGGAGCTCAGCCGCGTCGCCAAACTCCGTACGCCAGGCGTCGCTCAGACTGGCGAAGCAGCGGGACTCTGTGTGACCAAACGTCCCGCAAGGCTGGCCAGTCCGAGCACCAGTGCGAATGACGTACGGGCAGCGAGCAGAACCCCGTGACCCCCCCCGCTGAAAGTACCACTCATGAAGCTGCGGGGGCGAGGGGACCGTGCGTACACGACGCTGCAGCTGCACCTGGCCACTACAAGAAGCCCCGAAACTACTCACGCCAGAACGACTCCCACGACGGCCACCCCGACAACCCCAACTAGCATACCACTCATGAAGCTGTGGGGGCGGGAGAGGCTCACGTGGACGGCGCTGGAGCTGCATCTGGCCACGCCAGGAGCAGCAGTGGCAGTAGGAAGGGTAGGAGCCGTAGGAGCAGCACGAGCAGGAGTAGCGGCAGTAGCAGCAGGAGCAGCAGTAGCAGCAGCAGTAGCAGCAGGAGCAGGAGAAAGCACAGTAGCCGTAGGAGCAGCACGAGCAGCAGTAGCAGGAGAAAGAGCAGTAGCAGCAGGAGCAGTAGTAACAGCAGTACGGGCAGGACAGTGCTCACCAGTGGCAAGAAGGGCCGGCGTACAACGGCGGCAATGGTGAGGCCGGCACCACCGTAGGGCAAGGGCTCCGCGGCAGCTGCAGGTGGCGGCTGCTCCAGGGGCGGCTGCTCCAGGGGCCAGGGGCGGCTGCTGCAGGGGCGGCTGCTCCAGGGGCGGCTGCTGCAGGGGCCAGGGGCGGCTGCTGCAGGGGCGGTTGCTCCAGGGGCGGCTGCTGCAGGGGCCAGGGGCGGCTGCTGCAGGGGCGGTTGCTCCAGAGGCGGCTGCTGCAGGGGCGGCTGCTGCAGGGTCGGCTGCTGTAGGGGCGGCTGCTTCAGGGGCGGCTGCCGTAGGGGCCAGGGGCGGCTGCTGCAGGGGCGGCTGCACCAGGGGCCAGGGGCGGCTGCTTCAGGGGCGGCTGCTATAGGGGCCAGGGGCGGCTGCTCCAGGGGCGGCTGCTGCAGGGGCCAGGGGCGGCTGCTGCAGGGGCGGCTGCCCGAAGGGCCAGGGGCAGGGGCGGCTGCTGCAGGGGCAGCTGCTCCAGTGGCAAGGGGCAGCAGGTGTAGGGGCGGCTGCTGCAGGGGCGGCTGCCCCAGGGGCCAGGGGCAGGGGCGGCAGCGGCTGCCCGAAGGGCCAGGGGCAGGGGCGGCTGCGGCTGTCTCAGCGGCAGTGGCGGCGGTCGTCACGGCAGCAGCTGCAGCGGCAACCAGCCGTGGCGGAAGCTGCAGCGGCAGGAAGTGCGACGGCCGCTGCTGCGGGGGCGGCTACGGTGGGGCGACGAAGCGGCAGGGCAGCATAGCCGCGGAGGGGCCGCGTAGGGGGCCGCGAAGGGGCAGCGGAGAGCCGCGGACGGCCGCGAAAGGGCCGCGCGAGGGCCACAAAAGGGCCGCGCAAGGGCCGCGAAGGGCCACGAAAGGGCCGCGCGAGAGCCGCGCGAGGGCCGCGGGGCGACGCGACGAGCGTAGCGCGCGCGGGGCAGAGCAGGCAGGGCAGCGCGCGAAAAAAAAGGAAAATGCGAGCTGCAGCAGTGGCGCGCGGCCAGCAGGGGCAGCGCGACGCGTAGTAGGGTAGGGCGGGCGCGGGGTAACGCGGTAACCGCAGGTGATTTGTAAGGTGGGCCCAAACAGAACAGGTACTAAGGTCCTAAGGACCTCCTGCTCTATACCATGTTAGAATCTAAGGCAAGGATGATGAGATTAGGTCAAGGTGGGGTACAAGAGTAGAGTGTCGAGAGAAATGTGTGTACCCCCTAAGGCTATCCCCAATATAGCCTAGATATAATATGCATATGTTTTGACACACACACCATGTCACAGCATACGGTATCACACACCATGTCACAGCATATCACACACCATGTCACAGCATATCACACACCATGTCACAGCATATCCCACACCATGTCACAGCATATCACACACCATGTCACAGCATATCACACACCATGTCACAGCATATCACACACCATGTCACAGCATATCCCACACCATGTCACAGCATATCACACACCATGTCACAGCATATTACACCTCCACAAATGATATACTACGGTAGTCTCACTCACGAGTCACACTATGCCACACAAGGACACAGCAAGCTACTAATATCAAACACACAGCACAGAGAATGGCACAGCACAGAGCATGGCACGCCCATACGCTGCACCGCCCGCTCGTACGCTGCACCCCGCGCTCCAGCTCGGGGACTGGAGCTGCAGTCCCAGCTTGGGGACTGGAGCTGCAGTCTATTCTGCTGCTCCCATACTCTGGCCATTGCTGTGCTGCAGATCTTGTGAGAAATATGTACGCTTTCTGTTTCTGTATCAGCTCCCGCCATTGTGCGCATGTCGTCACCTCAGTTCTCTCTCCTCGCCAGCTGCTTGCTACGGTTGTCAACACATGCAGCGTGCATGTACCCTCACCAGTGTCACTTGTTTGTGAGGCTTTTTATCAGTCTCCCCACCACCACTGTCACTTGCACCCTATCTGGGTGTGGTTGCCTCTCATGCCAGCTGCACCTTTCTCACTCAGGGCTGTGAACAAGGGCTTGGCCTGTAGCAGCCAAGTCCTCCTCTCATGCCACCACACGGCATACTACCATCGGGCAAGGCCTGATGCAATGCACAGCTCCTGCAGGAGGACTCTCTCTCTGGCCTGCTTGGGTGTTTGTGCTTAGGTGCCTTCCAGGCTGCCTGCCCTGTGCCCAACCCACCTGTCTGCGCTATTCTACAACACGCAGGCCCATCCCACCACAGCACAGCGCAATACCTAACCGCACAGCACATCTAAGGAAAGCTAAGCACACCTAAGCAAATAGAACCGATGCTACAGACAGCTAGGGACAGCAGCGGCCCATCTTGAGCTCGTGGCGGTTCGCTCACCACCACGGTCCACCACCCACATGTCCTCTGCCTCGCCCTGCACATCCCCACAGCAGAGCAACTCATGTGCTGCTAGAGAGATAGCAAACGGGCATGGAAAACAACAGGGAGGAAAGAGAACAGACATCCACTTACAAGATGGAAAAGAGAACATAAAGAAAAACAAAACAAGACAAAGTGCAAAATATTTGAGAATCGTGCGCATGTAAAACTGCCATCATGAAGCGAGCACAAAGTGGGAAATGTACAATAGCAAAGCCCGCAACTCCCACCCCAGAATCTCCTACCTCATTACCTACTACATAGAAATGCTGCCACTGCTGTTGCTGCCACTGCTGCCCCCACAGCTGTTGCCATAGACAGGGGTGGAACATGTAGAGCGCCGAAAGGAGAGGGCACCACATTCCAGAAGATGGGACACAGAATAAATGGAGGACGAGCAACATAAACTGAACGATGAAGGGAGTCGAGTAAGTCAGTAAAGCCTAGACAACAACACATAGAATATTGAACAAGTAAGTCACCTGGACGGGAATTGTAAACACTCACCTTTCCAGTGCTGCAGTTGCAACCACTGCATCAGCCATTGATGCTGCAGCTACTGCTATGCTGCTGCTGCCACCACTGCTTCCCATGCTAATGGTGCGGGATAGAAGATTTTATTTCATTCTGGTGATGGAAGAGATGAGAGCAGAGAAGAGGAGAGGGCAGGAAAGGAGGGACTGAGAGCTGAGAAAAGAGGAATGCGAATCTGGCAACATAGTATACTAGCAAAGACATATGGGCACCATGGGAAGATGGTTCAACAAAAGCATGGAAATGGAAAAAGGTCAACTTCTTCATCTTCACTGCTGCTGCTTCACTGGGAAAAGAGCCATTCAGAGAACAACCTGCAACACACCCAGGGCTTGGAGGCGGAGAAAAGCCTTACCTGGAAAGCCACTGTGCCATCGGAGCCTCTTCTCCAGCAGCGGAAGGCCCGTCCATTCCCCCTCCACTCCATGCCATTCCCCTCCGCCTCGCAGGCCATCAGGCACACAGACGCACAAGCACGGGGAGAGAGACAAACACAAAGAAGTGGTGCAGCAAGGGAGAGTTAGAAAAAGCAGGACAAGAAGCGAGTGGCAAAAACAAGCACAAGAGACACAACTGTTGCCTCTGCGCGGCGACGCTCTACGACTCACTTCACGGCCCCCCTGCAAGCACCCCCGGGCACGTACCATGCTCCTCCGTCTGCCGCTGTGGCACTCGCCCGCTCTGCCTGCTGCACCACGCCTGCGTGCTGCTCCATGCTGCTCCGTTGCTGCTGCGCCAAGACTTCTCCACAAGCAGCGCCCTGCTGCTGCCCGTGCTCCAAGTCGCTCGACGCCAGCTGCTGCTGCTGCCGTTGCTGTGGTGGCGACGAGCAGCTGCTGCCCGTTGCAGAGGAGAGGAGATCACAGGCGAGGAGGGGGTTGGGAGCTGACAAGAGAGGCATCAACACATGGCAGCACAGCTGCAAAGACTCAAGGGCACTGTGGAAAAATGGTAGACCAGAGAGCAGGAGAACAGAAAGCAGGAACACGGTGAAAAGTGAAGTGTAAACTGCTTTGTCTGATCCACTCACGGATTGTTGTGTGCTCGCCCCGCCATGACGCTGCAGATGCTGCGGCCACTGATGATCCCTGAGTTGCAGCAACCATTTCCCCTTTGAGTGCTGGAGGTGAGGGGAAAAGGAATGGCCAGGAAGTGGAAGAGAGGCATGAGGATGTGAAAGAGCAGATGCTAGCTGGAGAAGGGACTAGGACAAATAGCAATGCACGGTACATTCGCCCTGCTGCTGCATCTTCACTCGAGGTTACCTTTTGCCTTGTAAGAAATAGAGCTCTGTTGTTCCCACCGAAGGGCACGCAGGTTCACAAAGACCAATCCGCCACACTCCAGAGGAAGGCTGAAAGGAACACGCACACATGCACACACGCACACGCACACATGCAAGCCCCCACCCCCGTTCCGCCCTTCCCCCTTCCCCGTCTCGCTGACATTCGCGCCCGTCTCGCAGGCCACGAGGCACACACACACGGGGAGAGAGAGACAGCCACACAGACGAGGCACAACAAGGGAGGGTCAGAGGCAGCAGGACAAGAGGCGAGTGGCAAAGACAAGAACAAGAGACACGACTCTTGCCTCTGCGCGGCGACACCCTACGACTCACTTCACGGCCCCCCTGCAAGCACCCCCTGGCACGTACCACGCTCCGTCCGCTGCTCTCCCAAATTTGCGCCCTTCACTTCATGCGTCCACGTGCTGCCATTGCTCTCTGTCTCGCAGGCCATGAGGCACACACACACACGGGGGGAGAGAGACAGCCACACACGGGGGGAGAGAGGCACACACACGGGGGAAGAGAGAGAGACACACACAAGGGGAGGGAGACACACACACACGCGGGGAGAGAGAGACACACACAGAAGCAGCGCAATAAAGGAGGGTTAGAAGCAGCAGGTGGCAAGTGATGGACCTGCAAGCAACAGAAACGACTCTTGCCTCTGCGCGGCGACACTCTACGACTCTCTTCACGGCCTCCCTGCAAGCACCCCCTGGCACGTACCACGCTCCGTCCGCTGCTCTCCCAATTTTGCGCCACACCTTCACTTCATGCATTCACGTGCTGCCATTGCTCTCCGTCTCGCAGGCCACGAGGCACACACACACAAGGGGGGAGAAGACAGCCACACACGGGGAGAGAGACACACACACACGCGGGGAGAGAGAGACACACACAGAAGCAGCGCAATAAAGGAGGGTTAGAAGCAGCAGGTGGCAAGTGATGGACCCGCAAGCAACAGAAACGACTCTTGCCTCTGCGCGGCGACACCCTACGACTCTCTTCACGGCCTCCCTGCAAGCACCCCCTGGCACGTACCATGCTCCGTCCGCCGCTGTGCCACTACTGCGCCACGTCTGCACTTCACGCGTGCTGCTGCGAGTCGTCTCTCGCTCAAGCCGGCAACCGCAGCCCGTGCATTCCCCGCCCGCCCGCTCCAGGCTGCCTCTCGTGTGAGCCAGCAACGACAGCCCCGTCCATTCCCCGTCCACTCGCTGCCACTCCCGTCCGCCTCGCAGGCCGTGAGGCACACACACGCATGGGGAGAGAGACAGGCACACAGAGGCGGCGCAATAAGGGAGGGTTAGTAGCAGCAGGAGGCAAGTACTGGAGGCAAGGGTGACAGACACGACTCTTGCCTCTGCGCGGCGACACCCTACGACTCGCTTCACGGCCCCCTCGCAAGCAACGCGTGGCACGTACCTCACTCCGTCCGCCGCTCTGCCACTCCTGCGCCATGACTTGAGTTGAGGCGTGCTGCTCCTGGTTGCCTCTCGTGCGAGCCAGCAACGGCAGCCCCGTCCATTCCCCGTCCACTCGCTGCCACTCCCGTCCGCCTCGCAGGCCGTGAGGCACACGCACGCACACGCATGGGGGGGGAGACAGCAACACAGAAACCGCACAAAAAAGGGAAGGTTAGAAGCAGCAGGAGGCGATTGGCGGAGGCAAGGAAACAGACAAGACTCTTGCCTCTGCGCGGCGACGCCCTACACTGCCCCACTGCAAGCACCCCCTGGCACGTACCATGCTCCGTCCGCCGCTTTGCCACTCCCGCGCCACGCCTTCACTTGAGTCGTGCTGCTCCATGCTGCCTCTCGTGCGAGCCAGCAACGGCAGCCCCGTCATTCCCCGTCCACTCGCTGCCACTCGCTTTTTGACGACGAAAGCAGCGGCAGCACCGCTCTGCAGCTGAGCGGCAATAACGTCGGGTTTACAGCGAAAGCAGCAGGGACGTCGCAGCGACGTTGCGTTCACGTGACGAGGAAAAACAGCAGCGCTTTGCGTTGTCGCGGATTCAGCAGGAATGATTCTTGGACGCCGGAGACGGCAGCGAAAATGTTTATATGGAAGGAACAGCAGCGAGGTCGCTTTGTCGGCTGGAGCAGCAGGTAGGCGTCGACGGCAAACGCAGCGACGACGTTGCGATTTTCGCGGATGCAGCAGGAAAGCTCAGCGCCTAAAGCAGCGAACGTTGCGATTCAGGCGGATGCAGCAGGAAAGCTCGGAGCTTAAAGCAGCGACGACGTTGCGATTCAGGCGGATGCAGCAGGAAAGCTCGGAGCTTAAAGCAGCGACGACGTTGCGATTCTGGCGGATGCAGCAGGAAAGCTCGGAGTTTAAAGCAGCGACGACGTTGCGATTCTGGCTGATGCAGCAGGAAAGCTCGGAGCTTAAAGCAGCGACGACGTTGCGATTCTGGCGGATGCAGCATGAAAGCTCGGAGCTTAAAGCAGCGACGACGTTGCGATTCTGGCTGATGCAGCAGGAAAGCTCGGAGCTTAAAGCAGCGACGACGTTGCGATTCTGGCGGATGCAGCAGGAAAGCTCGGAGCTTAAAGCAGCGACGACGTTGCGATTCTTGCTGATGCAGCAGGAAAGCTCGGAGCTTAAAGCAGCGACGACGTTGCGATTCTGGCGGATGCAGCAGGAGAGATTAGCACCTAAAGCAGCGACGACGTTGCGATTCTGGCGGATGCAGCAGGAAAGCTCGGAGCTTAAAGCAGCGACGACGTTGCGATTCTGGCGGATGCAGCAGGAGAGCTCGGAGCTTAAAGCAGCGACGACGTTGCGATTCTGGCGGATGCAGCAGGAAAGCTCGGAGCTTAAAGAAACGACGATGATTCTTTTCTGGCGGGAATAGCGGCTACGTCCTGCGCGATGATGTAAACGGCAGCGACGTTGCAATGCCTTAACGTCGTCTCCGCCTATCAGCGATAAGACTGGTATAATCCTGATGTACAATCCGTCTCTTCTGTAGCAGCAACTTCACGTGGTATCCGCCTTTGTAATCGCTAGGGTAACTTCTTGTCTAGGAATCCCAGTTCTTCACGACTTACACCGTCCTAACTACATCAGGCTTAGATTGCAATCATAGCTATCAGTAACGACTGATGTCCTGTCAGCAAACGTAACTCTAGTGCAGGTAAGAGCTAGATGCTGGTGGTGTGATCAGTAGCTCACATAAGGTGAAGGTGAAGATTGGAGGTGAACCTTGGGTTGAGCAAGCAGGAGTTCAGACGAGTGAGGTTCGGTTCGGAACATCAGTGCGAAGCAGGGATTGGCTGGCCGAAGCAGTTGCCGTGTCAGTCAGGGTGCAAGATTGAAAATTTGGAGGGAAACTGGCGGCTCGAAGAAAGATCAGACGAGGTTCGGACGGACGACGGAGAATGCAGCACATGAATGTGGCTGAAAACATATCCGCGACAGGTGTCTACGAGCCAACACAAGCACAACGCAACTAGTATTCCTGTTAGATCATATATGAAAAAGATAATTAATACATCTAAT